ACGGTGCAGCAACAGCCGCAGCATCAGGAACGGCCGCAGCCACAGGAGCACCAGCACGGCGCAGCAACAGTCTTAGACTTCAGGCCAGGACCCGAGGTGGCCGACGCCGCCCAGGTCGCCGCCTACCCCCAGCAGCAGCAGCAGCAGCAGCAGCAGCAGCAACAGCCAGCAGCAGCAGCAGCAACGGCCCGCAGGAAGGCGCTCATCATCCGGCCTCGTCCTCGCCCAGCTCGTTCAGCTCGCCCAGCTGCGCTGGGCTCCGCGGGCCCCGCTGGCGGCGCGGCCTCGAATGCCGCGGCGCGGGCCGCGGGAGACGAGCGGCGGCCGTGGGGCGGCGGCCGGGGCGCTTGGTTGCAACCAGCCTCCACGAAGCCGAGGAAGAAGGCGGGGGATGAGTGGGGGTAGTAGGAAGGAGAGGAAGGGGGACGATCAGCGCGAGTAGCAATGGGGCAGCGAGGGCCTCACTTGATCGGGAAGAAGGCGGAGGATGAGTGAGAGTAGCAGCATGATGAAGGGGGGAGTTGGAGGAGGGGGGTGGCGGGGCAGGGTGGGGGGGGGGGGAGGGGCGGGAGAAGATGGGGGGGGGGAGGAGCGAGAGAGCATGGGGGGGGAGGGGAGGGGAAGAAGGAGGAGGAGGAGGCGGGGGAGAAGGAGGAGGATGAAGAAGAGGGGGGATTGCGCGAGGCGGGTGGGCGGGGCTCTGGGCTGGGGGGTGGACTGGGGGAGGGAGGGGGGGGGTGCGTGACAGCGGTGGCGGAGGGCAGCAGGGGCGACGGGGGGCGCCCGTGCCGACTAGGAGATATGGGCGCGGGGCGGCGACGCAGCTACTAGTCGGAATAAGACTGCAGCGAGTGCGGTGAGGAGGGCAGCGCTAGCAGCACGAGAGCACGAGGCGCGGCTCTCTCACCGCGTCCTTGTCCGCCCTCTCCAAATCTCCCATCATCCTCGCGTGGTCGGGGCCAGGGCTGGTCGATATCTCTCTTCGCTTGCTCTAACCCGCGTCGGAGCTCCAGCTGGGCGCCGCGCGCATATTGGCGATCCGCCCGCGGGGGCTCCGACAGAGAGGTTGGAGGAAGTGCAGGCGGAGATCGACGGCCTGAAATTGGACGAAGCCTTCGACGCAGTGGGGATTCCATCGGCCGAGGTCCCGAGGTCTTTCCCTCTTTCCCCCAGCACTTCTCCTCCCCCCATCCCATGTTCATCTCCTCGTCCACCCGTCCTCCGCGCCCCCCCCCTCGCCCTCCCTTCTCTCGGCGATCGAAGCAATGACCGGCGACGGCGATGGCGCCAGCGCCGGCGACCTCAGCGCTCGCGTGCACGGCGAGCTCGGACTCGGATATCCAATGGTCGACTCTGAATGTCCGGGCAGCCTGGCGGCGGTGAAGGATGAGCAATCGGGGGCCAGGCGGCGGAGGATGACGAGGATGAGCATCTCTGGAAACAGATGGGGGCAGGAGGGGGGGGGGGCTGGTGGGCGGGGCAGCGACGAGCAAAACTTTGCGCCCTGAGAAGGTCAGGGCTACTGCGAGGATTGGGCGAAGCTGAGGCGCGGTGCCCTGGCGAGAGGGGGATGGGGGCGGAGCAGGGCGAGCGACGACGGATGAGAGAGATGAGAGACGACAACGGAGAGGGGGCAGCAGGGCAGCAGGAGAGAAGATAATGGGCGTGAGAAACGGAGACCATGCGCTTCCCTCCTACGCATCGTATCCACCTTCTTTTCTCGACCCTTCGGCCCCTCAGCCTCCTCCTTCCTCCGACTGTTGTTTTCTGCTCCTCGTCCTCCGCCGCGCCTGCCCCTGGGGCGCGTTGCTGCCGACTGTGCCCCATTGTGCCCATTTCCCTTTCGTTGCTTTGCTCCCCCGTGCCCATCTCCTCGTCAACTCCAGCCCCGTCGCCGCCCCCAGTCGGCGCGGCGTTCGAGAGCGGGCGGGTGGGCAGGACCTCGGCGACTCCGGCCCGACCGCCTTCGCTTTCAACCAGGACGGGCGGGTCAACCAGAAGGTGGACGGGGCGTTCCTGTGCATCGAGGAGGCGGCCCACCCGCTCCGCGGCGGGCTGACCGCGGCATTCGACGCCAAGGTCGTGGCGCACGGCGTCTGGGCGCCCCCCGCCTGCGCGCAGCCCTTCCTGGGCTGCGCGTTCGTGCGCAAGGGCTGAGCGCCTGAGCGCGTGTGCGCGCGCAGCATGGCGCGCGGTGCAGGGGCAAGGGGGTCGGGCCAGCAGGGCAGTCTGAGAGACGAGGGGAGGGGGGGGGGGGGTGCGAGGAGTGGAGGGAGTGCAAGGGGCGAGGGGGTGCAGCCCCAGCGCGCAGAGAGTTGCAGCAGGGGGCGTGAGAGGTGAGAAAGGTGGGCACTTCAGGCGCGCGCGCGTCTGCCGTTACTTCGCGCGGCGCCGATCGCTCCTGGGCCATTGCCTGGCGCGACGGCCCCGAGGCTCCTGGGCAGTCTGGAGCGAGGGGGGCATTTTCAGACGTTGGGTTCGCTGCGGCTGCGACCCCAGCGACCCAGCGACGACTGCTGCGCGAGTTCTTTCTGGTGTGCCGTGCAGCCGTGCAGCGTGCATCTAAAGCTTATATATTCTTAGCGGCTCGTGCGGACTGCGCGAGAGTGGGAGGTGCCGTGGTACCGTAGGTATACCGCATCTGCGTGTCTGCGAGTCCCCTGCCAGACTGGACTCCTTCTGTCAGGTGTGAACATGTGAACGCGTGAACACACGTGGTGCGCGCGCGTCGGGGAAAGTGAAAAAAAGGTACCCATCCTTGCGATGGGCGCTAGTTCCGCATAGCTCCGCGCGAGGTCAGGAGGGTCGCCCATTTCAGCTCACGAGAGATTGATACGATTCGCATTGCGTTTTGATTATGTCGGGTCTCGCGCGTCGGTCAAGCACAGTCGCGTCGTCGTGTCGAGATGCAGCTTGAGAGAGTAGTTGGATTTGGAGAGAGCCCCAGAGTTTGGAGTTGGCCCTCAAGTCAGAAGCACTCGCAACCGAATGCCATACCGCTTGGGCCGCGCGATCGGTCCACCTGTGAACCATGTCATTCGCCTTTCTGCCCTTGCCTCGCATCCCCTGCCGCGATCGCCATCCAAGCTTTCCCGCTCGTTCGTGGGGCGGGCGGGCCGCCCCCCCCCCTCCCCCCGCGGGCTTGGCCCTGGCCACTGGGTTGCTCGTGGCGGTCGCGGCGGTGCAGCCGCTGTTCGCCAGCACCTCTAGGCCGTCGGGCCGCTAGCATGTCCGCTCGCTTCTTGCGCTCCCACTCCGATAGCCGTCGGCATTGCCGCCTTCTCGTCGCTCATAGTTCTATCCCGTTTCCTGCCAAAACCTCCCTCCTGTTCCCGCTGGCATCCGATCTCCTCTCCCCATTTCCCCTTCCCAAACTTCCTGTATTTCTGCTTGCGCTTGCCCGCGCCGAAGTTCATCCGCGCGCGCACACGCACGCGCGCGCGCTCTCTCTCTCTCTCTCTCTCTCTCTCTACTTCGCGCGTTCTCGTCGACGTGCTGATTCTCATGCCAGTGGCCCTCCTGGTCCTCCTCGTCGCCCTCCGCTTTGACGGCGCCCCCGCTCCTTCCCTTATCCTCGCCCTCCTCGCCGCCCCAATCCTCCCCATCGAACCCGTCTCGTGGTCTGCGCGTTCGGGTGGGTCTGCAAGGACTTAGCTTCTCTGGAGCAGCCTGGTCGATGCTCGGCCGCCGGGGCGGGGCGGGGTGGACCTGCGGGCGTTTAGGGGCGCGCGGGGGGGGTGGGGGTAGGGTGGGCGGCGCCGACAGAGACTCCGCAACGGCGCAGCAGCGACAGCAACGGCGGCATGAGAGGTCTGCAGGTCGGCAGGGCCCACGCGCCGTGGATCCGGGAGGGTGCCGCGCTGCCAGGCGAGCGCCTTCGTCTTCGGCAGCTTTCGGGACTTCGTCGGTGCCAGCCTGGCCGCGGGTGGAAAGGGCGTGTGTGTGTGTGTGTGTGTGTGTGTGTGTGTGTGTGTGTGGGTGTGTGGGTGTGTGGGTGTGTGGGTGTGGGTGTGGGTGTGGGTGTGTGGGTGTGTGGGTGTGTGGGTGTGTGGGTGTGTGGGTGTGTGTGTGCGTGTGTGTGTGTGTGTGCGTGTGTGTGTGCGTGTGTGTGCGGTGTGCGTTTGCGTGTGTGTGTGTGTGTGTGTGTGTGTGTGGGGGGGGGGGGGCGGGGCGTGGAGTCGCCGCCCCGGGTTATGCGCACGCAAACCATGAGGAGGATGAGGGGGGGGGCGAGCGGGAGAAGGGGGGGGGGAGGAGAAGAAGGATGAGGATAAGCAGGGGGAAGAGGAGGAGGAAGAGGGGGATGAGGGGGGAGGATGGGGAAGAGGAGGAGTAGGAAGGAGGGGCAAGAGGGACTGCGGAGTGAGGAGCAAGGGGGCAAGGGCGCAGTTGTGGGTCACTGATGCGATGAGCACTTCGCTCGAGTAGAGGCCTCTGGCCCATTCTGAAACAAGTGCCCCAGCGGGCCTCGGCCCCCATCCGACACTTCCTCGCGCGAGAGGGGTGGGCGGGGAAGAAGCAGCATGCAACCCACTGTAATCAAGAAAGCAGGCGGCACTGGGCATGCGACGCTGCATCCCCGAGGTCAGCGCGCGCATGCGCCATGCTATGCTATGTTTGTGCCACTTGCGTTCTTGGACATTGCATTGCAAGGCGTTTGCGTTTCATTGGGGTGGTTTGCATTGCGTCGTTGTGTCTTGCGTGTAGGAGGTCGGCCTGTAGGTCTGTAGTGCCCTGCATTCTCTCGGCGCTGCATTGCATGTGGGTTGCTCTGCAACGCGTTTGTGTCACGTTGTAATGCGTGAGCCCTGCTTGGGGCATATTCTGGGGATGGCTGTCACGAAGAGGATGCAGGGATGAAGAGGGCCCCCATCGGTTTCAGCGTTTTGCGCGGCTCCCGGATGCCACGGACATTCGCGAGCGATGTGTGCGTGAGTGGCATGGCAGGCAGAGGTGATGGGTAAACGCACGGCCCGCGAGGACCCTGATTCTTCGCCCACATGGCCAGCGAGAGGCTCAAGGATGAGATCGCGAACTTCCTGCTAGACAGGGAGCTGATCGGCGGCATGCTCGCACGCGGCGTCGTCGCGTGTGCGGACGTGGCTGCCCTTGTTCTGCAGCCTCTCCAGCAGAGCGACGCGGCGGGCCCCCATGTCCAAGAGAAGGATGAGGGAGCGGGCCCGAAAGCACGTGGCGGCCCTCGTCGCGTCTCGCCCCGATGCCCACAACCTGAGGATGGAGGACGGGGCTTTCGAGGTGGACCTGCTCACAGAAGTGTTGAACCATTTCACCAATCACCGCTTGTCTGCGGCAGACATGGACGACGTGTACGAGATGGTAGGGCCGCCGCCAATGCTGCGGCAAGCCAAGTCGAGACGCTACGCGAAGACCTCGGCTCTGCCGCGCGGGAGTGCGAGCGCGTCGTCGCTGGCGCCAGTGGGCGGGGCCATCCAGGACGCACCAGCAGACGACGGCGCCTGCCGAACCCGCGGCAGTCACCCCCTACGCGCCCGTGGACCGAGATACCTTGGCAGCTCGCTTGGAATTGAGGGACGAGGAGGTCGCTCAGCTGAAGGAGGAGATCCGTAAGCTTAGGGGGAGCAGGCAGCTCTGCATGGGGATGGCCGAGAAGTTGGAAGTGGACCTGCACGATGCGAACCAAAAGATCGCCACCTTGACCGCGGCCGTGAACTTTCGGACAGGGCGGAACGCGACCGTGCACGGAGGTTACTCCCTCGCCGTCAGGAGGAACCTGGGGCGCGCATCCACTGCGGCAACCCTGGCCATGGTGACGGGCGACGGAGAGGGTAGCGTCGAGGACCCGAACACAGTGGTTAGCTACGAGCACCGCGCAGCTGTTGGAAAGGTCCTCCGTTCCAGAGTGTTCTACGACGACGACGTGGGCGTCGTCGCGGACCAGCTCGAGATCCACCCGTTGGAATGCGACGCGACCAATGCGGAGCTTATCCAGAGGAAGAAAGTACACGTGTCCATGATGCACAGTTCCATCTGCAACCTCTCGCACGCGGCCTCCTTGAACTCTGGGGACCCCGCGCCGACTGACGTGGCTGAGGCTGCGGAGACCCACTCGATCACGGGTGACCTCCTCACAGTCGAGAAAGATAGCGGCCCCGAGACCCTCGCCTTCATGCAGACGCACCTGGAATCCGTCTACTGCCCCCCATGGCAGAGCCGCGCGTCTGCGACCGCTGAGGAGAAGCCTTTCTTCGCGTCCGTGTACGGGTTCGGCGTGGACGCGGGCCCTGGCAACCAGTGCGATTTGAGGAAGGTCCGAGAACAATTGCAACACGCCCCGCCTCGCGTAATGTTTTGCGCGATGTTCTGCTTCATGCATCAGGTCCACCTCATTGTGAAAGATTTATTGGTTCGCACGGAAGGCTTCGAGTGGGGGCCGCTGAAGGACGGCAAGCGGTATTGGGGGACCGTGGCGACGGTCGCCAGCGTGTGGCGGTCTTGCGGGGCCCCGACGCGCCTCTTCCAGTCCGCCATCGATGTCCCTGGGGGCAGCAGACGTCGCGCACCGTTACTTCAGGAAGTCGCCGGGGCAGCCGCTTCGCGGCCGATGGGGCAGCGCGTCGGCGGTGGAGAAGCTGATCATCGAGGCCAAGACGTTTACCGGCGCAGTCTTCAAGCAGGCCTTCGGCAAGGATGCGGCGGGCCCAGCCCCCATGGGGAAGGCCAAGGCGAAGGCCGCTGCCAAGCCCAAGAAGAAGAGAGCCGCGAAGGTCGGGGATGACGAGGAGGCCGCGCACAGACAACAGCAGGGCGATTGGAGGGGCACCGCAGTGGCGTGCACGGGCGACGCAATGTGGCTTGCCATGGTTCACATTTCGTACATCGTGAAGGAGCCCCTCACAGTGTACTTGTACGCCGCGCAGAAGAAGAAGGGCGAGTACGAGAGGAATGTGAAAGACGCTCAGCCCAGTGCATACCTGGGCCCAATCCCTCTATCGGACCTGGTAGCTACAGCTGGCAGAGGGGCCAACGTCTACCGCGACCTCCAGGCACTCTTCTCGGACGACGCTCAGGGCGCGGGAGGATCTTGGGAACCCGTGTGGGGGCTGCTTCCTGCTGGGACGGAGCCTCGCGCCCGCCTTCTCATTGTCGCGCTTTGGTTGCGGGCGTTGGCGGGATGGTCGGCGCGGATTCTCAAGCGCACGGGGGAATTTCCGCTCCTGCTCCTTCGCGTCTTGGACGATCCACGCGGCGATGATTCTGCCGACCGCTGGGGGATAGCGGCGGCGCTGCTGCGGCGCGACAGGGGCAGCTTGGTGAGCTTGAACGGAGACCTCGCGGGGAAGATCCGAGACTTGTTCAGGGACGATTGGCGGGCCATGGTGGAGTCTGGACAATGCAGCGCCAGGCTCTACGTTTTCTTGCTCGTCTGGAGAATCCGCCTTCCACGCGACACCCAGGGCCTGGAGGGCGCCAACTCAGTCCTGCAGCGCATGGCTAGGATAGCGCCAAACCTCCACATACCATTGGCTTCGGACCGCCTTCGCCTGAAGCTCGGGGCGCCCATTGGGGCGGAGGACTGCGTCGACCTCCACGGCGCCATCATGGACCAGTTCAGGACGCACGACTACGCTGGCAGATTTCTGCCCGTGGTTGTAGCAGAACCTCTCGAAGCAGCTGGCCCGCCGCCGCCGCCCGCTTTCCCCCGCTGCGACGCCGCGATTCGGGCCGCAGCAAGATACGCCTATGTCGCAGGGGCGCTCATGCCCACTTACATGGACCGCGCCTTTACGTTCGTAGAGGGCGCGGGCGAGGACAGGGCGGCCTTCTTGATGTGCTGGAGCTATCACTCGGAGGTTTCGTGCGCCACGGGCGTGCTGCGCCCGCTGGGCGGCGGCGCCTGGTTCTTCCACTTGGACCGCCCCGTGCGGATTGCGACGCTGACGGAGGTCATCGGGGAGATGGCGGCGGAGGCAATGGGCAAGGGCCTGGGCAAAGGCGGCGCAGCGGCACCCTTGCCCGCGCGGTCGGGCATCTTGGAGCGGTTATCGCTGCACCGCGCCAAGTACCGCGATGAGGAGGTGGCGGAGGTTACCCCGAAGCCGCCTAAAGCTGATGCAGACGGGAAGCCCATCGACGCGGGCCTCGAGGACATCGTCGCAGCGGCGATGGGCGACGTCATGGAGGAAGATGGTGAATGCGACGGCGCTGTCGGCGGCGACGGCCACGGACGCGGGGGCGATGACGGCCTTGGGGGCCATCCTGAGGACGCAGAGCTGGACGAGGAGGGCGCGCCCGTTCCTGAACCTGATGAGGTCGATGCCCCCGCTGGGCACGGGGTCGACCCGGACGGGCACGGGGGCGGCGACGGTGGGACCGATGAACCGCTGGGCCACGGCGGCGGCGACGATGGGCACGGCCGCGGCGGCGATGGGCACGGCGGCGATGGCAGCAGTGGCGACAGTGCCCCCGCCAGCCCTGGTGGCCCTGCTCCTGGCGCCCCGGTCTTGGGCGTGGACTGGGTCGGACCGCGGGTTGTAGCGCAACGGAATCGGGCAGCGCGTGCCCTCCGCGATGCTCACCGCAACGCCGATGCCAGGCGGGGCGAGGCAATCGACTACGGTACCATTGGCTTGGTTACAACGCCCGACGGGAGGTGCTCGTTCGTGCTCTGGACGGACGTTGGGAGGAGACGCGCCAGGCCCGTGCGGATTGACTCCGATGGCCGCATCATATCCATGATGCACTTTGCCCAGCCGGATGGCGACTACGCCGACGCAGTGGTCGTGGTCGGTAATGCTGGCTTAGTCCAACCATACCGGAAGCGCAAGCACGAGAGGCCAGCCGTTGATCCTTGGCTATTGCTTCTGCAGCTCGAGGGGAACACGCAGTTCAGCCAAGGGCCGCTGCCTCTCGCAAGCTCCGACCCCAACTAGTGCGTGCACTGCGCGCACGGGGGCTCGGGGATGGAGGAGGGCCCTCTGGAGGAACATTCAGACGTTGTTCTGGTGCAGTTCTACAGGCGTCAGGTGCGCCTGCTCATCTGGCACAACTGTTGCGCCTCAAGGTACCTGGGCCCAGTGGACTTCACCAATTTCATTTGCCCGGTGTGCGCCCGGTGAATCCTTCTACGGGGACAGCGCGCCTTGCGCAGTGCAGGTAAATATTATGTAATTGGTGCTCGTGAGCGTATCGCAATCGGTGCGGTTTCCATCGTTGGAGTTCGCCGCGTTCGGGTTAATGCAGAATTTGTATGGTTTATTTATGCAGCGGCATTACTAGATGTACTGATTATCTATGCACCACGTTGGGTGCTAGGGTGCTTGGGTGCTGGGTAGGTCTATCAGCAGCAGCATGTGCATCTTGGAGGGCGTCGCTGCCAGAGGTCGCCGCTGCCAGAGGTCGCCTACGCGAGCTCGCCCTGCGAGGACCGCGAGGGTCCAACTCTTTCTTGGCCGCCGTGCCTTTTGAGATTCAGCGGCGGGGCAGCAGGGGGGCCGCAGCGGGGGGCGATGGGGGTCGTCGAAACCAAGTGGCCTTGAGCTCGTCCACGGTGTCTCCGCGGTCTTTCCACCCCCTTCAGCACTAATGGCGGTGCCCGCGGCCGCGGGGATGCTGGCGGCGAGGGCGGGGGCGGCTTCGGGGGAAGTGGCGAGGGGGAGGGGGGGGGGGGGGGGGGCATATCGGCGCGCCGAGCAAAACGTGGATGGGAATGGCGACGAGGGCAGAGGTAATGAGGGGCGGGGTGTGGGCGGGGGGCGCCGTGAGGAAATAGGGAAGGGAGCTGAGGATAACGCGGGGGGGGGGGGGGGGGATGATGGGGGACTGGGCATGAGGACGACGGAGGCGAGGGCGTGCACCCAGCAGGATGACGAGGGTGAGTCGGATGACGGTCGCCCGCATTGTAGGGCGGCAGCGATGACAAGGAGGACGGCGACGAACAGAAGGGGCACGAGCACGAGTGCGATTCTTGAGACAGGCGTAAAGATGACAAGGCATGTGAACGCGAGGATGAGGAGAATGCGATGAGGCCACGTATGATGATGGCCATTGGCCTTGCAGGCGCACAATCGGAAAACGAGGCGCAGGGGGAGTGAGGGGACGATGGGGGAGGGTTGAGAGTCACGGGAGGGGGCCCCTCGCTATTGCACAGGCCCCCCGTTGCGCATCTCCCCCGGCGAGCTCGCCCCCCCCGTCCACTAGCATCAGCGGATCAGAGGATGCGTGTCTCGCCTGAGGTGGCCCTCGAGGGAGAATGCTCGGAACTTTGCCCACCTCACTTTTTGCCGAGCCCCCATCCCATCTGCTGGGTGTGTGTGCCGCCAGTGCCGAGCAGTCCTTGTTCTGCGATATCCGATGGGGTCTCCGCCGTGCGAGTCATTGCATCATGACAGCGCCCCCTAGATTTGCACCGATGCCGTTGTGGACTCAAGGTCCGTTTGTCCTGAGACTTGACTGGCCCGTGCATCTCCCGCCCCAGAGAGTGCGCGTTGCCTCGTTTCGTTCCGAGGGCATTTGTTTTCTCTTAGTGGTAAGCCCCCTTACTGCCGCAGCAGCCTGCCCCATCCTCTCCCCGTCCGCGCCTGCCAGGAGTAACTACGCGATGGCCGGAGATTTCGTGCTTGCTGGTGGTGACCACGGCGAGCCCATGAAGACGGTCGAGGCGTGCTCTTGCCAGCGCGCGCGCCGCGTCGGCCTGCGCGCGCCAGCGCGCGCGTGACAGCAGGATGAGCGCGTGCGCGTCGTTACCATCTCGATGGGGGGGTCGGTGTCGTCGCGCGTGCTCGCTCTGCACGGGGCGTTCGTGCGCGCGCGGGCTGGCGATGGGGCGATGGGCAAGTGCGCGCGCTTCGCAAGGGGCCAGGATAACGAAACCACAAGGCGCCACAGGAGGGATGCGTCGCACGCGCGCCTCGGCCAGCCAGCGCGCATGTGTTATGCGTGTTCCCAGCGTGGGCAATGCAATGCGCCCTCGTGACACCGCGTCGCGCATGCGCGCGGCGCTCGTCGCCCCTCCAGCGGCGCACGCATTCTGCGTCGTGGACTGCCAGGGCTAACGCCGCGCACCGACAGAAGCTCGAGCCCCTACATTATATGCGATGGAGCCAGGGCACTTTGTCGGCGCACGACGTTGCCTGGAGGGCCTCCTCTTTCATCGTCAAGTGGCGATGGCCGCCCCTCGCCGAGCGGCGTTGCGCCGACTTGGCCCCCATCGCAGATTGGCGAGGGGGGGGCTGGCGTCGTGGGCGCAGGTGTCACACCGCCGACTGGCCGTGGTCGCCATCGCCAAATGGCGATGGGGTCGCTGGTGCACCTGTGCGACCCATCGCCAAATGGCGATGGGCGCCACCTCCAATTTGCGATGGGAAAGGCGGGCGTGTGCAGCATCGTGTACAGACGTGGGCCCATCGGGACATGCTGATGGGCTCCAGGGGGGCCCATCGGGAATTGCTGATGGGCTCCAGGGGGCCCATCGGGAATTGCTGATGGGCTCCAGGGGGGCCCATCGGGAATTGCTGATGGGCTCCATGAGGGGGCGGGGGCCCATCGGGAATTGCCGATGGGCTCCGGGGGGGCCCGTCGCGAATTGGCGATGTGAGCCATCGGGCTCCATCGCCAAATGGCGATGGGGCTCCGAGGACCCATCGTCGAATGGCGATGGGAACCCGAGGACCCATCGCCAAATGGCGATGGGACCCCGCGGACCCATCAGCAATTCCCGATGGGACCCCGAGGACCCATCGCCAAATGGCGATGGGAGGGTCGGGATCCAGGACCCCCATCGCCAATTGCTGAAGGATCCAGGGCTCCCATCGGGAATTGCTGATGGGCCCCTCTGGGGCCTCAGGGGCCATCGGGAATCCCTGATGGGGAGGCTCTTTTTGCGATTTTGTTCAGGGGGCGCGGCCAAACAAAAAGAAAACATAACAATATATATTTATATATATATATAACATGCGCGAGTGGAATAAAACAGCTGCGCGCGCGAAAAAAAAATCCGCAACAACGTCTATGCATCCCCCCTCCCCCTTCCCGGGGGAATTTCGCGCGTGCGATTTCTCAGTTTTCATTTTGTGACATTCGGGGCGTGGGGGGGGGCGTGCTCTCGGGGGCGCGGGGCGGCCCTCCCCCCTTGAGCCGTGCTCGCGCGGCGCGCTGCCGTGGTCATGCCTTTCAGACATAACAAAAACGCGCATTGTCGTTCTGGCGAGCTGGCGCCCGCCGCAAGCCCGCCCGCTGCCAAGGGCTCTACGGGCCGAACCTCAGCAATATTGAATATTTAGGCCGCATCGACGACGACTACAATATTTCTGGGACGCCGCCGTCGCCCTCTTGCAGCGGGGAGAGTTCACGATCGTGGGGCAGGGTCTGGGGAGTGCAATTTGGGACTCGCGGGTGCGGGGGCTGCTTCCGTCGGGGCAGTGCCCCCCCAAAAGGGAGGGCCCTGTAAGTAGTGGATGAGAAGTTGTAGGTGGGGGGCACGCGGGGGGGATGCGGATGAAGAAGGGGGAAGAAGTGGAGGCGGATATGGGGGAGAGGAAGGATGCGAGGGCATAGTTAGAGCTAGGAGGGCGCGCGATGATGAGGCATGAGGGCACGAGGCGTGTGCTACACTGAGGTCGGGCCGTGATGCAGCGTAGCGTTTGCTTGCATATGGGTGTCCTGTGCTGCAGTGTCTTTCTCGCGACAGGTGTGGCACGTTGGCTTCGCGGCACCTCGCCTCTCCCGTGGGCCCGCGGCCTTGCCTGAGTGTAGAGGTATATTGTGGTCTTGCTCAACGCATCTTCCCTCCGTCGGACCCGTGGACTGGGCGCGTGCAGTCGGAGCATCCGGTGTTCGGGTGTTCTCTGTTTTGCAGTTGATCTCATTCGCCATTGCTTGCGTGCGTCGGCGGGGCAGCCTCGCCACCCTTGGAATAACCGTGGAGATGAAGCATCAATATTGGATCGAATGAAACGCGTGGAAGAAGTCGGGCTCTTGTGGGAGAACAAGGGCGGGGCATGGCTGATTCAAGAATCAGATGAATCTCGAGAGGCGGGCGAGGGGGGTGCAGCAGACATGCCCGGGCCCAGTCAGATCATCCAGCATGTATTCTGCATATACTAGGTGTTACTGTTTTGCAAGGTTGCTGCGCTGCATTCGCGCATGTGCTGCCTTGCTCGTCGTATATCGCGCATTGTCTGGTGTGTTGCATTTGCGCATTGGCTGCGTTGCATCACCGCTTCTGCTGTACTGCATTCGCGCATCCCTGGCGTTGCATTCGCCCGCTGCTGTGGTGAGGTCGCGCGCGTGTCTGTTGTGAGTGATTTTCGCAAGGTGCATGTGTTGCCATGATGCATCGTGCGCCGAGGGGGCGGGGGCAGGGCTTCTGGTGGGCGATACACGGCGCTACGTTAGCTGAAGGAGCTAAACGAGCGTGGCTGAAGACCAAGGACACGCCGAACCGCAATGTACAAATGTGGGCAGGGGGGCTTTCAGTCGAAGCTAGACTAGACAAGGCTAGGATGTCGTAATGTCTGTGATGTCTGTGATGACCGCAACGTCGTGATGTCTGTAGAAGCTAGGCTAGACAATATCCTCGAACAGCCTGGGACTTGATTGCAACTCTGGCAGTGACAGTATGCTGGGGGCTTGGAGGGTATAGCAGTTGAGGTATGCATGCAGTAGTGTTGTAGTGTTGTGGCTGAGCGGCTGAGCGGGGGTGGGAGGGGAGGTCGATAGCGCGGCCGGGCCCATTGCATATTGTATAAGAGGAATATGCCGAGAGGCGTCGCGTCCTTCATGCAGGAGCTCGGCAACCAAACTCATTCGTCCAATACCGTTACAACCACTCTAGAGAAGTTGCGAAGCATCGACGATATTGAGATTGGCTGGGAGACCCTAAGGCTCAAGAATAAGGGCTGGACGTGGAAGTCATTGGGGCGTGCTGAGTTCA